TGTTGAAGAAATAATAAGAAAACCATTACATTTTACAACACATTGACACATTTAAACTAATTTCCTTAAGATGTTTCCTGATACTCAAACATTATTTCTGCTATATGGGTCATTTTGGAGTCATGTATTTTCTCAGATAGAGATATCAAAGTTTTGTGACTGCTCACTGGGTGCCCATACAGCCTTTTTCAGGCGTCCAATAGCTTCAATATTTTCTGAGAGCATAAACAAAGTACCTTGGTGAAAAAGTGTGAAGCTCGAAATTGTAGCTGGGAATGAAGTCACACCTAAATTCACACTGTTACAGGACAACAAGATGGAAAACCATTAGCCTCACCATCTGGCGATTTACTCGGAAGGCTTCTCCCAGCAGCTTCTACTGAAGCCAGTCGCCAACTCCGGGGACTTCGGGTGGCAGTATACGCCGTGAAGTGGTTTGCGGCCTGCCAGTAAACCCAAAGCAGAAGAAGAAGAAGTGACGTCAGCGGCTTCATTTGCCTAATCTTCCCTCAGGGAACTTATTCTGGTGTGAACACGATCAGCTCTTAGTTCCATGGGGATACTAAGTGCTGGGCTACTTGGTGTGAAAGCGGCTATTGTGCCTTAATCCTTTTGTTCACAGTGGCAGCAACAGTTACAGCTTAAAAGAACATCAGTGAGAGAGATGGCAAAATAAGCCATTTATTGAAAGAATCAAAAGAAACTAAACATGAACACTTTTTTTTTTTTTTTTTAATCAAGCAAAATGTTACAGTTTCCACGTCGAAAAACACAGTCAACAATACGTCTCTGAAACACTCTGTTTGATCAGGCAGTTCTGTACCGAGAGCAATGAGCAAAACAGCAGGGTTTTTTTCGGAATCTTTTGTAACACTTAGACCTTCTGACAGAGAAAAACTGAAATCCAACACGTGGCTTTTGAAATCAAATATATACATTTGTTCTTACAGCATTTACATATTGAAAAAAAGAAAACAATAAAAGTACCACAGAAGAACTCTATCTGTCAATCCAAAGATAAAAAACAGAACTAAATACACGCCATGTAGAAAAACTGAAGCATGATGATGCTGCCAGGACATCACCCTATTGTTTTCATGAATGCTGAGAGAGAGAGAAGCAGCATGGGGTCCGGGTTTTAGAGGACCACATGGGAGGGCTGGTCAGGGGTTTGGACAGGAACGTGGTTACACAACCCTGAGCTGAGAGTGAGGTGATGGGGGGGGGGAAACTTCCTCCAGGCCTCACTTCACTTCCACTCTAAAGGAAGACGGGATGCATCCAAAAAAATTAGACCACTGACAACTTCTACAATGCCAACAGTCTAAATAAAAAATGTAAGACATTTCCTCTGTGTCTTTTCTTTGGACAGCATTGCTAGGGTTAGGGTTATACAAACATATACACCAATACCATGATATACACGATGATTTGGCTTACACAGATGGATTAAACATCATATTCATTTCAGCTGGAGTTTTGGGTGGATCCAGGATTGTTGGATTTGTCCCCCATTGGATCCCCGTATTAAGTTGTAAGGTAAGTTTTTTGTTAGACTTAATATTGAAAACATATTTAAAACATTCATTTCAACTGTCTCAAATCTAATACAAAATCCAGATGTCACTTAGTACACTATCATTTACCACATCTGTTCTTCATCCGTGTTGCTATACTGTATCATAATTGTCCCAATTCATGTCCTAAAAGGTGGTTTAATGTACCTGGAGTAGTGAAGTTGTGGCCAAAATGCACAATTTGATAAATGTAGCATTTGAGTTACAACGGTTTAGCTTAGCGGCTAGCCCTTTGCTACACAATATTTTGCCATTTGTTTATTGTTCATGTCCAGCAAACCTCAGATGTTGATGCATCCATACCACCGATACCGCCGGGGACGGGGTAGTGTTTTGTTGGAAGTGAAGCCCAGCCGGTTGTAGCTGTTGACAGACTGAAGGGGGGTGGGGGGGGGGGGGCAGACAGACACACTAGGAGTAGGTAGACACTGACTGAGGCGCTGCATTCACACCAATATGGCTTCAGGCCTAGAGACATGCCGGCAACATGCAGACATGTAGACAGGGGACAAAGTGGAGTGTGGAGGTAAACTGCGTAATCCATCCAACCTTCATTATCAGCTAACACACAAGGTAAAGCTACAGGTTCCTTCCTGTGGCTGGCTTTGAGGACCCAGAGACAGAGCCTGAGAGAGACAAAGCACAGCATCATAAACTCAACTCTTCTAAAACTTAATACAGAAGCATTGCTGGAGTTCCTTCTGTGTATGTTGTTGTAGAATGCATTTATGTGTCTAAAGAGCCAACATCTGAAGTGTCATTTGGAAAGAACACTGACAAATGAAATTACCACAATTGCCCTTTGACCTTCCTATACTCTACTGTACTGTAACATGTCGTGTAATAGTTAACAGAGAAGTTCGATAGTATTGCTTTCAGTGTATGTATAATGCATGGGGCTCTACATAATCACAGATACCATTGTTTTAAAAGGAGGGTTTTGGTGTATTGCGATATTACCATAGACTGTATATATAAAGGATATTACAGCTGGGAAATGCTTGAGGTGATATCTATTTAATCCTAGATTACGAATGAGTTTAGAGGATCTTAGAGGCAAATTCTGTGGTTTCTAAAATTGTGGATTGTGTGACGTACGCAGGGGCTTCAGGTTCTTTTGAATTATCCCACAGATAAGCATGTGAAGGTATGTAAGACACTTCACTGAGTAACAAGTGAAGAAGTGATTACATATGTAATACAAGTACAGGTTTGATTGTTTAGGCCACTGCATAGTTTAATGTTCTGACCTTTCCATTAACTAAAAGGAGAAATATGATTATTGGATCATTCATTGAACAGCTTTGGTGATGTCATCCTGCATCATCAGAAGAACCTACAATTGGAAGTACATTTGGACTACAGCCGAAGCATGCTGCAGTTCACACAACTCAAAACCATATTAAAGCGTAGACGCCCCATAGTTCATTTGAACTTCACAAAAAAATACAGCGGCATCATGAGATACAATCTCTTCAAATTCATGTATTCATGTTTTGAATTCTAATTGGCAGGAGGAACAGCCTCTGAATGGTCCATCACAGGACACTAAAACTCTCCAGTGAAATGTGAAACAGGTTGATGACTATTTGTTAATAATCATCAGCATAGAGTACAGTATTTATATTGGTGTAGCCTTAATGCTGTACGGATAAGTATGCTTTAGTGATTATAATTATATTCTGTGTGTCATTCAATGTCCTCTGTTTCCTTCATCAATCACTCATCACACACTTCAAACCCTTAATCTCTCATTCACATATCTAGCTTAACAAGAGCTGAAGCCAATTTACGGCCATTTTTGTTTCATTAGTTTCTCAGCATTTTGAAATGTCATAGTTAACAACTCGATTAACTAATAGTCTTTGTGACCCATTAAGTTAGTGTTGAAGTGTTCATTTAACAGTCACCTCAAACAGATATCTGACCTGACTTCATAATGGTCAAACAGTGTACCAGCATCACTGACTTTCCAAAGTGATATCTCATTTTTGACAGATAGAGTTCAATGTCTGTTTTGCCAAGATGTCAGGACCCTTTTCAAAGTTTCTTTAAACGGAGACATCAACACTGTGAAACAGGCCTTTCTCAGAGTGGACATTTGACTTGTCATTGCAGGAAAAGCACAGGTGGAAGTAATAATCGTAATGGTTTGTTAGTTAGCACTCTGACTGTAACACTGACACAGCAGTGAATACGACTACTATTGTTTTCTCTTTGCCAGTGAGCTATGCTGAACAGAGGTATCTCATCATTACATTAAATTACATGTTACTTGTTGGACGCTTTTATCCAAAGCGACTTTCATACTCAATACTGTGGGCAATCCCCACTGGAGCAATTTGGGGTGAAGTGTCTTGCCCACAGACACAACGACATGCTGACTGCAGTGGGGTTTGAACCTGTGCTCCCCTTATCCGAACACCAACGCACTAGTCCACTGCGCCACAGCCTCATCACACTGTGGGAAGTAATGGGAAGCTGTTGACACAACCATATATATGACACCTGTGGAGAAAAGTAAAGCTGTTTGAGTGTCTGTAACACAACAACAAATTCTCTCCTGCTAGCTTGTCCACTGTTAGCTTGTCACCCGCTAGCTTGTTACCTGCTAGCTTGCCACTCGGTGGAGTGAGAGTGAGAGGCACTGCAGATGAACAGAATTCTACAAGAAAAACTAGATTAATTCAAACAAATAATGTGATATTCTTAAGCTTTTAAGGAAGGCAACAGCCCTAACAACAGCAACAAAAATGCTGATCAGCCTGATTTATAAGTGCTTTTGATGTCTGTACCTTGGATGGGACATAGGCCTACATCCATTTGATCCCATCTATCAATCCACACTAATCAAGAGACATACGTGTGGTACCTCAGTACATCTCTACTGTGTGTCTACACGGCCATGGCGATTTGACAGGACACACACTTCTGAGGGCAGAGATTGCTGAGTGACGTTATGTTAGAAAATAATTCCACTTCCAAAATCTCCTCTGTGAGAAAGGCCTATACCCCTCTGTAGTGCGGCGGTCACTTTAAGGGTCCTTGGACAATCGCAGTGCATTTTGCTCTTGTTGCTCAAGCAGACTGACAGACTTGTCTGTCGGATTATCAGTGTCCATAGAGAAACAGTTTATTAACTAGTTTCTTTTCAGACATGTCCTGTGTTTGTTTGTCTCAAAGGGACTGAACCTTTTTCCATATTCAGTCATTCATATAACTGTCCAAGTTGTATTCCTTGTGTTTCATAGAGATCCTGTTGATCTAGAATAGCGTCCTTTTCCTCATCTCCTCATTAATTTCCAAACAAAATGTTTTCTGTTTTCTTACCAAGCTTGTTACACCCGTGGGTCTTCTTTTCCATCTATTCATCCATCCAAACACTTTGACAAATGTTCAGTTCAGCGACAAGATCACAGTCTCTAAACCTGTTAGAACTTTTGGTCCATGTATACATTCTGACACATGAGTCTGTAGGTTAAAGTACATCCACTCCACTGTACTGCTTGCCCTAAACATGGGAGACTTTCTGTGTCTCTCTTGCCTGCTTGATGCTGTATAGCCACTTAATGACTCGAGCGTTTCGCTCCACAGCCGAGATGCCATATGGAACACGCTCCCCGGCCTCCTCTTCCTCTTCCTCAGCCGCGTCTGACAGCCCGTCGTTGGAAGATCGCCTCGACCGGTCGCAGTCCGAGGAGATCATAGAAGCTGATCGAAAGTTCAGGCTGACGATGTCCGAGTTGGCCCGAGCAAAGTTTTCTGGACCCACTGCCTCCAGCTCCTCTGGGTCAAGGCCACAGTAGTTAAAAAAGCGCTCCACGTCAGCTCCGGCCCGGGCGTAGCGGTCTGACAGGTCTGACTTAGATCTGTGCAGTGAGGAGCGACGGACCACAGAGGAACCAAGCTCCAGGTTGGCATCTGTTGAAGTATTTGAAGGGTCTCCCAAATCACAAGGGAGTGACTGTGGGGTGCTGTTGTCAAAGAGCGAAGGGGATGGAGTTGGACGAGCGGGGGGCAACGAAAAGGATAGTGCGGGAGGTGGGAGGGAGGCAGGGTTGGGTTTGGGTGGGAGGGGTGGAGCCGATGAGCTGCTGGACCGGGCCGTGCGCAGGGGCTTTCCATTGCACAGTCGCAGGAGGTCAGAGGAGGAGTGGGAGGTGAGGAGGGGGGGGAGGGGGGAGCGAGAGCGATCGATGACTCCTTCACCTCGTCTGCTAAGGTTGAGGTTTCCACCCTGTAGTGGACTGCGACGCCCCCCGCTGTTCAGCGGAAGGACCTTCAGAGAATGGGAGAAGGAGCGCAGGGAGTGTGAGGTGCTGGGGCTGGGGGCTGAGTCCGGGGGCTGCTCATTCAGTGCCATGGTGGATCGGTAGGTCAACGGCATCCTAGGAAACAGGGAGATAAATACATGAAATGCTGTAGCATCAGGTAGGTAAAGTGTGGACACTAAACGAAGGCTGGATTCAAGTAGTGTACATCCACACTAAGCTACTTATAGACAGAGAGGGAAGCTTACAAATACCCCCTTCATCAGAGAATGCTAACCTGGATATCTAATATGGAGAGGTCCCCCCATTGACCACTGCCACTGCCTTCACAGCTTTGTAAGCAGGGGCGCCGTAAGGGGGTGAACATTTAGGACGGTTCTAAGGGCCCGTGACTGACAGGGGCCCAAAACATTTTTAGTTTTAGTTTTTTTACTTGTAATGGTTTGGTCCTGCCTCCAAACGCTGTGCGGCACCGGCCCTTTCTAGCAGAGAGAGAGACTAGTGAGGAGGGATGCTAGTACTTCCGTGTGTACGATGTCTAAACGACTAACAAACAAAGTCAGGCTTTCAAGAAAGAAAAGAAAGGAGAGAAAGACGAGAGGGACTAAAGGGCGACAGTATGTCACCCAGTTTTTCAAAAGAAAAGGTGGGTGTGGTCCATGAGTGGTGGAAATTAGTCTGTTAGCTAAGCATAGTCCATTATAAATAATAATTGTAATGTTTTGCTGACATTAAAGGTGGGGGAGGTAAGTTTGAGAGACCGGCTCGGGATACACTTTTTGTCATATTCCATGGAATACTCTTAACATCCCGATAGCAATGAATATCTTAAGTGCTTTGACAAAAAATCCATAAAAAAATGTCATCTGTCGAAGTCGTGGAGCTGTAAAAAGCTGGATGGCCTACCTGCCTGTCAGCCTTCCATCTGTGCACAAACTTATCTCGTGCCCTCATTGGTCATGTGCGTGTTCGTGTGTGTTGGAGGAGGGGCTCTGTAAGGAAGTGGCAGATTTGTTCCGGCTGTGTATTTTCAGATTCTAGCGCACTCAAGCTGGTTTCTCCAAAATGACCTACCCCACCTTTAAGTACTGTTAATATCTTCACAGAAAATTCAGAGGTTTTTCATTTCACTCCTCTTTTAGCTGACATTTAATAATTGCAGGTACATTTTTAGCAGCTATTCATACTAAATCAGTTGTCCCTCCCCCTGGTGCCAGGACCAACAGATCCATCTCTAGGCTCAGCAGCCCCCCCATAAGGCTGTGCAGTCTTGCCATGCTGTCCATTGAAAGCCAGTTAGCTAGAAAGCTGGACTTCAAGGACTTGATCAGTGACTGGGCTCTTGGTGAGGCTGAGCCAGGGCTCATAATAACTGTTAAAGGGCAAGGCTATGGTAACGATATTGGATCCATACACACAAGAAGATGTATGATGAGAAAAAGACTGAGAACAGGTAATAGGCTCTGATTTAGCACCACCATCAGGCCTTTTCATTTCCATTTCCGTTTTGTTGTCCGTTTACACTTTAATACCCGCTTATTTTGAAGTTGGTATGCATATTTAATTAAAAAATCTGCTGCTTATGTTATTTTTTTTGTTATAGCATTTTATAAATGATAATATTGGTGTTAATGTTCACTTTATTTTAATTTAAGAGGTCATGTATATTTAAGTTATATTTATTTTGATTTTTGAATGTTCCATTCAAAAATGTTATTAAAAAGGCATGTACACCATGAAAGATGACTATTGAGGTCTATTGTCAGGAATGTTAGTGTTATATCAAATAGTGAATTCTACTGCAGCAGAATGTTGCACGTCTGCACAGTGTTATATGTTCACCGCTCAGTGTCAGTAAATACTGTGCAGTTAGTATTGGACTACAAGATAGATGCAAGCCTGTACAGGTAGAGTTATTTAAAGCATAAATGAGTCGGTTGGGTTCTGGAGGTGTGGTTACAGCATTGTGCTTGGTTGGCGTGGCCTGGGCCTGGTGGTGGGGCCCAATGTGATATATTTTCGTGGGGCTCAAAATCCCTGGCGGGGCCCCTGTTTGTAAGATCCCTGCAATAGCCCCCTTCCATACTTCCACATCTATGTGTTTCAGCCATGTTATTGACTTAGTAATACATCAAGGGTCATCTAGATTTCAGTATTTGGGGCTCAGGGCCAGAAGCTTTCACATCTAACTACAGATATCACCATGACAGGGCTTCTTATATGTTCAAACATTTATGAAAAAGCCAGGAACATTTATGACATTTGAGTCGATCAATTTACGTAGACGTGCTCGTACACAAAAACATCTTGTAAACTTTGTTTGATGTTGAAGCAGTAAATTACCCTGATGGTGTCCAACTTCTGGCCATTCCCCCTGCTGACCTCATCAACACAGCACTCTTAGCTCCGCCCCCTCGTCCTTCGGAAGTTGCTCCTGAAGATGACGATGAGTTTAGCAGATTTTTAAGAATCTCCAGGTTTAAATTCTCTCGTTTGCTGCTGCCTGCACATGTGTCTGACTTAGCGTTGTTATTGGATGCTTTGAAAGGTATCCCGCCCCCACCAATCCCAGAGCCCCTTTTGGACAGGAGGGTGTGACCGACAGGAGGCTTAGCCAGCACAGGTGGTTTGATTGGCTCCTGCTTGGCGTTGATAACTTCCTGGCTCTTGACATACTTCGCCTTGTCAGCTTCCAGTCTCTCCACAGCACTGAGACGCTTTGGGTTAGTGTCCACCTGAGACAGACAAAAATAATATGTTAATGAGCATAACCCTCCAATATTTTGTATACATATAGGTTTTTAAACCCTAGACGTGTCCAATAACACTACCAAGGGGCCAATATCTTTAAAAATGTATCTATAATTGTATGGTCCATACACAGACATCTTGGAAACCCCTTACCCACTTAGTGTGTGTATGTTGGCACTTTGTCTAGGGTCATGTGAGAGTCTTAATGCTTTGAGGGAGCGATTTCTCCTTGATACTGTATATCACGTGTCTCAGACTCCAGGCCCGCGGGCCAGACGTGGCCCGCGAGGCAGTTTCTCATGGCCCCTTTGTTGATATCATGTAATAGTGTTAATCTGGCCCGCGCGTTTACGTTTGCGCTTTATATTTAAATTGTATTTTTCCTGCTGCTGCTGCTGGCAGGGAACTGCTGCGCGGAGTTCCCTCGCCCCTCCCCCCTTCCGAGGGAACTCCGCCACACGTCAATCAAATGCGCGCAGCGGAATCAATCCAGAGTGATCCAAAAGTGACACAGAGTGGAAGCAAAATATATCGCCATGTCTTCATCAAAACTTTCAGGGAAAAGAAAAATCGATGATGACCACAGAACATTTCAGGAGAAGTGGGAGACTGAATATTTTTTTGTTGAGTACAGGGGAAACGCAACGTGCCTTATATGCACAGAGAAAATCGCTGTATACAAGGAGTATAACGTCAAACGTCACTACTCAACTAAACATGCACAGTATGCAAAATACCTGGGAGATGAGAGAGAGAAAAAAGTCACAGAGCTAACATGGACCTAGACTATACAACTACGTAGAAGTAGTTGCTGTCTGTAGTGTCGAACAGGTTTTGAGTTCGTAAGACGACGTTTTCCCGGTACGACTGAGCCTGGATTACGGTCACGTCTCGTTAAATCGGAGAGTCTGTGGCGAGCGAGGAGGTCAAAGAACTTGTTCACGGTGGTAAAAATCTCAGGTAGAAAAGGGACAGTAACTACCGCGGAGGCAGGCAGCATTTAAGGTTGTGTTTGGAGAGGTACCGTCTGGTCATAGGGCGTTACCTTAGGTGGTCAACGGACTTTATTGAGGGACTCCGCCACCAGACCGGTACGTCAACCCCCCCCCCCCCGAAAGTGACCTTCGTTGAGGAGACAGTGAAGTTTTAACAGGTAGTTGGTGCCTTGTATGTAACGCTCGACTCGCCACAGTCACTGACAGAACACGATGAGTAGTTCTTCGGTGTCTCATACCGTTGCTTTTCAAACCGAAAACAGCGTGTCTCGACTAGTACTATACGAGTGGAAAACTATTGCAGTCTTACGCGAGACGGTGATCACAATCGACTGTCCGACTACGAACAATTTGCTGGAAGCAAAAGGGGCCTGCCAATGAGACGTCGGACGTTGTAAAGCGGAAAAAAATGTTGAGCGGAAGGTGCATTTTGCCGAAATGGCGCGGATCGTAGATGAGTGAGTGTGATATAACGATCGTAAGCGTATTTTCGGTTATAGTCATGAGTAAACGGTCAATATGTTCATAGGAAAAAAACTTTCTACAGATAACAGTGACGAGAGGTAGTTGACTTGTAAACAGTACCATAATCGAGAACAGCTGTATTAANAGCTAAAGTTTGTGGGCTTTCCTCCCTTAACTTCAGTATGTTTAGTCCCATCGTAACAATCCTTCCTGTGTTCTTGTCTTCGTCCAGATCCGACGACAGGCCATCCTGTCGTCGGATCTGGACGAAGACAAGAACACAGGAAGGATTGTTACGATGGGACTAAACATACTGAAGTTAAGGGAGGAAAGCCCACAAACTTTAGCTTACTATGTACCCATGCACACCAGTATTCTTTCAAACTCACCGACACATCCTCATCTTCACAGAGATCGAGCTGGGCATTGATGGCTGAATCCGCCAGTTCTGGAAAGCTGCTGAAGAACTTGGGAATAAACTGTGCAGCCAGGCGCTTTTCCTTCGGCCCGCCCTTCACGCCATCCAAGATGACTTGGTAGGCATCTTTGTGCTGCAGAGGAAAAGACACATCAATAAACATGTACAGGATAACAACATTACAATTCATATGAAACTCCAGTTATAATACGATCCAATTCCTAGATAGTGACTGTAGTCCAGGTATAACTGTAGTGAATTAGCTGACCCCAAAACTAGCGGGTGTTACTGAGGACCTTTGGGGTATCTCTGAGTATCAGCCCACCAGGTTATGTAGAAACCCCCAATGTGCGGTGAGTGACCTGAAACTCTTTAAAAAAAGGGCAGATTGAGGACAGTCTGCTTTAGCGTGATAATCACGTAATGCATCTATGCTTCATTTGACTAAATATTTTAGCAGTTGTGACCTCCTAATCCCGTGAAAACAGTTCCTCAAAAAACAACCCGTGTGGTGGCATTCAGTTGTTCAATGGGAGACTGTAACTTTGTATTTAAATGTACAAACAGGGGCTGTGTAGTTGGACAAAGGCATATGAGGAGGACCTAGAGACTTATAACAAAGATGCTATTTGCTAAATCTTAGCGTCTGTCTCATCGACTTGGACCAATGTTTTTCAATCAATCAGTCTCTTTTCAGGCCATCTAATAAAGCACACTACAAAGCGAAACCCCCCTTTATCCGTAGCTCGGTAAGGTTATCAGTTCAATGACTAGAAGATATCTCACAAGACAATGGAGACGTTTTAATGCGTAGGTAGGCAGGGTAGTTTTGGATATATTACAGTCACAAAACAAACAACAATTAACCTGCTTGCCTGTTTTAGAGAGTAATCCAACTTGCAGAACTGGCAAAAAACCTGCATGACTACTAATACTGACATATGAACCATTTGATCTGTGCATAACAATTAACTTATATTTGAATGGAAATACATGATTTTCCTTGGACTGTTTCGGTGTAACAAATCCAGATGCACTGTCTTGCTGGAAATGGAATATAACAACATAATCATAATAAAGATGCCCTGATTCAGTGTAAATTAAAATGTGCTCCATGTTAATTAAATCAACGTTTGAAATACAATAAAAAAAACTTTAAAACCAAATATTTACATATATTCAGAAGAGTATAATGTGTATTCGTAGATACTCTTCTCAATATGTATTTTCTACTATGAATATATATTTATTTGCTTTTAATATTTATTTAATTTGTTCTATTTTTAGGAAATGTTGCAATATCTTACTATGACTTTCAAAAAAGCTACTGTGACAAAAACATTTCCCAACTTGGGATAAATAATGGATATATCTATCTATCTTGAATAAAATATGATGTTAATATTTACTATTGGTCGAGTTGTATCCTAAGGGTCGCCATTGACATTAGCACGGTCACTACGTTAGCCTAGCCACAGTTAGCATACCACGCACACAACAATGTTATGTAGCTTACAGCGAACAGTTGACGTTAAATAAGCTAATGTGAGGAACCAACACACAAATCAATTCAACCAGGTTTTAAAACACACATTATGAGCGTTAATTACCTGGCTGAGGTCGTCCTTAGCGTCAGCCAGGACCCCGTAGCTCCGATAGAGATCCTCGATAGTGACCGCCATCAGCGTGCGTCCTGCAGCAGAAAAAGATTAAAAAAACAAGGAAACCACTCTCTGGTCCCTTTAGCTCCGATTCAGGGGAGGGTAGCACAAAGGACGCTGTACTACCGGGATATATGTTCTTAGGAAAGGGGATGGTGAGAGGAAATGTCGAGAAGCCCGTGAATGAATAACCCCAGTAGTCTGTCTTCCCGCAATCTCAAGCTAATGTGCTACGGAACAATGAGCAGAGCGCATGCGCAAATGTAGCAAGTAGCGTGGAGGATGGCAACACACGTGACCACTTGTGTGCGCAGAGATTGTGCGCAGTAGAACTATTGATTTGTTTTGTTTAATTCAAAAATATGAACATGAAATCAACCGCTCACGCTGGGTGTTCACACACAGATACAGTGAAAACAATAGATACAACAAAAAGTTAAATGTACAATGAATTCAAATTAGTTTTTAATTTATTTCTCGTATATCGTGTTTTCATTACACAAGATTGAAGTCAAAGATTCAAAGGTTTAATTCTCATGACATACAAAACTGTGTAATTATGTATTTATTCAATTTATCCCTAGCTGTGTGTGACATTATACCTTTGAACTTAAATACTAATTCAAATTTGTAAAATACACCATTAATTTGATTGCCTTCATAATGTTTTCTACATGGTACCATATTGCTGTGGATTTGCAGGTACTAAACATGGTTGGGAATCAGCACATCTCTCCCTGTGGATGTGGAATTTTTGCCATGAATATAAATTACTGCAGAACAAAAAACGTTATTCTATCACATTTAAAATATATAGAAATGTCTTTATAGGAAGCAAACAAAGTACTGTGTGGATTAAAAATGTGTAGAAATTACCTTAAATTAGGACATCAGAAAGAATGAATTAATCACACCAAATCAGTCAACAAACAATATCAATATATTTATAGTTTCCATAGAGTTGTCACATTCACCCATTAAAAGCAAACATTTAATTTGAACAGGGTGCATTTTTATTGGGACATTTAAGAGCAAATACCAGTGAGAAGTAAAGATATAACATCATTACATTTCACAATTGGTAAGTTATAAAACCTTTAAGGCCACATGTACATGGAGGTAACTGCAACAATTTAAACAGGACAATAGTTTTGAACTACTTTTTTAAATGTGTTAATCTTTTGCCTTTAACCATGTAAAACATTTCCTTTTGAAAAAGCTGCAACTTGTTCACTGGACCCACATTTCAAACTTCTCAAGATAATGGTAATTTTAAAAATCAGCTCAATTGAAAAATACTTTTGGCAGTATGTGTCAGTTCCATGTCTTATTAATAGTTAAATGTTACATTTCAAGTAAGAGCAAATACTGTTTTAAAACTCAAAACTCTTCATATCATAAGTTAATAAGCCCACACTTTAAGAGTACCAACATTTGTCACCCAATAAACACCATTCAACCTGTCACAACAAACAACTCTATGGTACATATAGCACAGCAAATACATGCTCTGAGGAACTCCAATCATGTTTAACAGTCATAAGTTAGCATTCTCATTCAGGCGATAAAGTAATATCCCCACGAAATGTAGTTCATTCATCCTTTTTAGTTTTTAGAACCATTTAGCATCAATTTGAATCCATACTCCATTTACTGTGAATCATTTTTAATTCACATTACTCATAGTTATCTGAATCTGCTCTGATGACTGTACATCACCGTATATAATGTAATCTGTTGAGGTATGTCCCACTACACATGTCATAAATACTGTCCCCTCATTGGCTGTCAGCTATGACATCACCAGGCCAGTACTCGTCCTTCATGTAGTGGTTTGAGGCGGCGAAGCTGGGTTCTATTGGAGCGTCGTCGTCCCTCAGCTTGTTCTGCAGCTCCTGCTCCCACTCGCCCTCCACCAGCTTGTAGAGGTCGAGGGAGGCGAGCGCGTCCTCCACCGAGCAGTGACCCCGCTTCCCCACCTGGACAGGAAACACACACCGGGTCAGCATTGAAGACCTACTTTTTACATTGGCTTTTGTTTCTACTTGTGTGTGATGTGTTCTGTTCTCATGTTTGTTCCTCTCAGGACTCCACGTGGTCTGTGTTGTGTTTTTATGTTAACCTTAAGTTTCTGCCTCATGTTGTATTCATGTTTCTGTGTTCTTAAATTTAACTTTTGTTCTTTCTTGTGAAGCACTTTGTGATTTCTGTGAAAGGTGCTATAATAAATAAACGTATTATTATTATAAAACGGAGCTAACAGCTTTTCATTCTGGAAACAGACTTTAAAATTACAAAAAACCATAATGAAGTATCGTCCATTTTCTCAAAGAAGTAACTATTAATTTTTTTTTGCAATGTCACCTACTCTCCAAATCAAACAAAAAGGCAGTCACAGGGCCAAGCGGCCATTTTTCTCAACTTAGTTTAGGTGTCCTTCTAACTGGTTTTGAACAGAAACCAAATTAGCTGCCGCTTTGACCCTCTCCAAATCGAAGGGATCGTTTCATGAGGACTTGTGAGATAGCTTTTGGTACTTTCAATGAAAACCTTGTTTATCAGTAAGTGAATAGTATGTGGACAATCTAATTTGAATAGACAAAACAGTGGGCCAAACTTTTTTATTGAAATAAATTCCCATATGTAGAGCCCATTAAGTCTGAAAAAGCTCACCTGTATCTTCCGGTCTAGCAGTTTACTGGCCAAGATTTTGAGGGAAGAGCAGCGTTCGCGGGGGAATCCGGCTAGCCGGCTAAGGTAGCGCGTCGTGCACGTGTCTCTGACCATGTGACCTGGGAGGACCGTATCCAACACCTCAAAGTCGTTGTAGATGGCGTGGCCGACCACCACTTTGCCCTCAAGAATACTGAGGATCTACAAGAGAGAAGCAAATGGAAAGGAAGATCATTATTTACCTTCCATTACAAGCTTTCCAAGTCAATAACCTGAGCACTTTACCCAACCTTTTATACATGTTTACTCACTGCCTAGACCTATTCATTATATCCTTAGTATCACAAGTGTAGGAGCCAAAATGCTTATTTTGCCACTGCTTCCGGCAATTTTCACATGGGTGTGGTTTATTTGTATTTAAGTCACCTGTTGGATGCCAGTTTTATGGATAAGGGTGAACTGCTCTGAGGAGACACTTAGGGAATAAACCACTAGTTCTCAGAGGGAATAAACCACTAGTTCTCAGAGGGAATAAACCACTAGTTCTCAGAGGGAATAAACCACTAGTTCTCAGAGGGAATAAACCACTAGTTCTCAGATCTAAAAGTAAAGCGGGCCTCACCTCCTCCCTAGCCTGATTGAAGGGCACGGCGTTGTACAGGTGATGCCTCCGGATGCCACTCCAGCGCGTCCTGTAGTCTGTGACGGGATGACACGGTCGCACATATTTATCATACAACACGTTCCCGTGATAGTCCAGGACACTGCAGCGGGCCAGCGCACTGCAGCGCCCGCCGGGCCCCGTTCCGACCATCTCACAGTCCAACGCCACTACTGTGGTGGAGCCGGATCTGAGGCAAGGTGAGCTTCGTCCGCTGGCTGGAGGACTCGCTTCAGAGGAGAAACCACTGTCCACCTCCCAGATGTCTCTAAGGGATTTGTCCACATTGTTGTGCTCGGAGAGGCCAGCTTCAGATGCAGCAGTGCTCCTGTTTTCAGAGTCCAGAGTGCTTTGATTTTCCTGGTTTGCATTTATTGATTTAGTTTTTTTAAGCAGTTTATCTGAGTCGTCCGGTGTGTGTTCGGTTTGGTTCTCCATTGCTTTCCTCTTCACGTTGGCAGCTATTAAATTCTGCTGCCATGTTTTCCTGGCTCTTGCGTTGTCCATGGCACGAAGCAGCAGGGATTTTTTACACAAATATCTGTAATTGCTGAAAAGCCCCTGTGAGGCCCCTTTATTCTTTTTGGAAGACTGCGCCATCATCAACAAATCGAACCGTCATTACAGTCATTTTCTGAGGAAGTAAAAACACAACACTCTATTATTATCTTGTGAGGACAGCATACAACAGTGTATATTACTTACTTATGAATAAAACAGACTCACAATGAGATTAATTACAATGCAGATTCATGTTTTAAAACTCCTTTGTGTTACATTCAGTTCTCATGAGATTTTGAAGATGTGGCCATTAATAGATACTTGAGGGGCAGGTGATTGACAGGAACAAATGACAAGAGGCATTGCATTGCATTGGCTCATGAATCTAACTGACGAATAAGATAATAAATACAAAAAACTCTAGCAAAGTTAAATATGAAAGTGTGGTGAATGTCAGAGGAGTATTATTCCGCTGGAGATAATGGAAAACAACCATAGACAACAACACATGCTGTTACATGTGCTACTACTCTATTCACATTTCGACAGCTTAAAGCCTTGTCTGAAAATGAAATTATTCCTTTTAAGACAGTTGTAAACTTAACATACACCAAACTAGTAAAACTGTAAGTACCATCCACCACATACATCACTTGTTTACTAAAAATGCTTCTCCACAGGCCGACCATGATGGGCAGCAGCGATCAACATGTGACCAAACCATGTTTTTTAAAAGCTCACTACCATTTACAGAGACCTGCTTAATGAGTAGTAATAAAGCCGAATTGACCACTGACCCAATCGAGGTTCAGAATAAGCAAGGAAGTGTGTTTTATGCTGTGTTTATATTTGTCGGTAGCTCAAACCAACTATAAATGACAGATTTTTCGACAGAGTTTGGTGTCAGTTCTGCATAGCTTATGCCACGTCAAACAACAAGACGATAAACCTCGATTAATGTCACGTAAGATTAATACAAGAGGTTAACTAGTTGACTCAAATCATAAGAATAGCGTTACAACATGACATTTTTATGTTATATAATCATTTACATTACCTTTTGAGGTAGCACGTGTACAGTCTGAACGATGCCTGGACATGTTGCTTTTTCTTCTTCTCTTGAAATAAGCGGCGTAGCGTAAAGAGCGTCAGGATGTATACCGCTACCTGCTGTACAGGAGTGAGTACTACCACAATATTTTAACCCTTATCTTTCACCTATCCTCCAGCACAAGAGATGTCTTATTTAAAATGTCTTATTTAAAGTATAAAGGAAGCTTATATTTACCTCCAGAACTAAAAGAGGTTCAATTTATTTATCCTTCAGGAGATCTTCTCAGAAAAAAGGTAAATATTGATCACAACAGATATTTTTCTGTAGTGAAGCAAATGGAAACTTCTTCTATCTTTATAGCAATACTTTCTGGTGTGATTTGTATGCTCGGCTAGACCAATGGGTCCATTTGGGTATGGTCACGTCACTGTACCCAGGAAGAAAAAGAGAAATCTCCAACGAGGCGTTCTGGGGCAGCATAGACAGGTATTTTTTGTTTAGAGTTTTACTCGCTACAGGGTGTACTTTGAGGGTTTGTGACTCTGCAGACCGTTTACATGCAGAAAAACCTTCATAACACACAAGGGGATGGGTAATAACCAGAAAAGCATGACATGGGACCTTTAAAAAACTGAATCAGGATCTGATATTGTCTAATTAAATGTCCAAATAGGTTACAAAGCACACTGCACTGACTGTTGGCTAACCCAAGAAAGCTGGACGATATGTAAATCCGGATTTCCACTTTCATTATGTTTATCTTTTAATCTTTCCCAGCATTCCCATCGATAGATACTGACATTCATGAGAGTCATTGAGCTGAATTCCTGTAGAGCCTTGTGTGGGTTAGTAAAGCTCTGAAGATATGAGCGTCACTCTGGGTTGTGATATATTGTATATAATATGTGATTTAAATATAAAACAAAGCATGCTGCAGGTGGAGCTGTACATTTTGTTTTGCCACGTGGCTCTAAATAGCTTTGTCATTCAAACCCATGAACACACAAAGCCTGAACTCGGCCCCCCAGCTCAGGCTATAGGGAGCGAACACAGAGGAGCTTTGTTTGGGCCCAATCCATCAAATGTGTTCCCCAAATCGCTTTATTAGATCAGGCCTGATTTTCAGATTACTGCTTGTGCTTCGTCTGCTTGCTCCTTCATTGTTGCATCAGAAGAAAAGCGTGTGTTGGTGACGTTAGTGTTAGGGTCAGAGAGAGGAAGATGGCCGACTTACAACCAACCACAGGAAAGATTGTGTTTGTTATTTGTTAATAGTCTATTAAGGGTACTGATACCATGGTTAACTTGTAAACAAGCTTCCTGTACTCTTTTCAGCTAATCCGAAACTCAGATCGTAGAAACCCCAACACTGGACAGAGGTATATGTCCAGTATGTTTTTATCAAATAATCAAATCAAGACTGTTCTGGTGGTCTTGATGTTTGGCATGCTCGACATTTGGTTGTGGCTCAGTTCAGGTCAACCTGGAAATCTTTGTTGCAAAGAAGAACTAAGATCCAGAGTGTAGGATTGAGAGAGCTCTATGAACTTTAGTGGAATATATTTTAATAACAATGTTTTCACTTGTTTAAAATCATCTGTAACTAAGAATTGCTGTGTTTTTGTTAGCTTAAAATGTACTCTTCCTATCTATACAGGAAGCTCATCCTCTTCCACTTTTCTGCATGCCATTTTGCACCACTTTCTGTTAGTAGGCCAGGATGGACAAACCAATCCTTTTGTCATTCTCTTGCACATTGTATTTGTATTTATGGGGTCTTTAAAGAACAGTATACAAACCCACATTACATTTTGTTATAAATAAACACCGAGTGATGCATCATCTTCACTCGAAGACTCAAACAATTGTGTGAGGTTGTTCTGTGCAAGCTTAAACAACATGTTTCTCTCATGAGTGGAATTTGTTCAGTGGATCAGTGGCACCTCGACATCATGAGTGTTTGGGGATTACTAAATACGTACACAAAGTTGATTTGAAACCATGAATTCCATGAAGTCCTTTACGGATAAAACAACAGAAAATAAAAAGGTGCCACTAGTTTGAATCAGAATATGAATATATAATTAATATAAAACAAATGTTTAGGAATGATTGATAAGACGTTTTCACTCAAAGGCTATGTTTACTGTCCAGTGGGTCTTTGTTCATTTCTTTTAACACACCTCTCTGTGGCTCAATTACTAGAGATTCATCTAGAGATTATTTTGCACATGTGTCCGATTAGATGCAGTGCTCACAGAACTGATCACGTTATATAAACCTCAGCTCCGAATGCTAATAAAATGTTTACGTGAGAACCAAACACATGGAGTTCTGGATAGTTTGGGGTTAACTTTTACAGCTATGAATGCGCTTAAGGCAAAAACCAAACCCTTGTGATATGGGTGAAATCAGAATAAATAAAAAAGTGAAAAACATTTTATTAAGTCACACAAAGAGACATTTATCTTTATCTAAATCCCAGCTATTTTTGGATGCTCATTCTAGGAAAAGCATAGTTTTTGTTGCTCTTACTGGTCCCATTCAATTTCACAAACAGACTGAATTTAACATAATTTCTCTAAAAATGTGAAACAGACATTTTGAACACCTCTCTTCTCTCACCCGAGCGTGCTCACGTTGGACAAATCAAACTGCGAATCGGCAGTCAACAATGGTCACTTTTTTTACTCAAGTCTCCTTGGAATGCAACCAAATCCCTCCACCCCCTTAAAACAGCTCTTAACTAAAGTAGTGTATTTAAAATTGCATCATATGAAAAGTGCACTGGCCCTGCCTTTTATCACCGGGGACCCTCCATCATTGGCCCAACTCTTTCCCCATCACTTCCTCCCACCCTCTGCCACTTTTATGCTGATTGGAAACAAAAAAAGTCGGATGTAATCTGGCGTGACGCGACTAATCCCAGCACTACAAATCATAGGAGCCGTGCACCTCGCTCCACACAGACGAGCCCTCGCCAGCAACCTCACATCTGCCTCAGGTAAGTCCTCTCCGTGGTGTGCTGCTTCACTTCTCTTCTCCTCCTCGGATGTTGTGAAACTCTGAAGTTGTTCTCTGCTCCTCTGTAGTAACTTTTGTTAAAGGTGCAGTGATTTTGACATTGAAGTTGTCTTATAAAGTGGCATGAAGTAAAAAAAAAGGCTGCCTTTAACTCCCTAACACACTTCTTCTTGGATCTTGAGGTATTGGAGGGTTAGATCTATTTAAGTGAAGACTATTATAAGACTGCGTAGAGGCATCATGGGACTTACTGATGAGGTTCATTCTGTGAACCACAATCTCTCGTGATTGTCTAGATTTGGGTAAAATGCCAAATATTTATAATTTGATACTAATATAAAGATG